TTAAGCTAGAAGCCTGATTTTTCGTATAGCTGCTCCTCTATCCTTTATCGATGTCCACTGAAAATTTCAAGTTTCTGTGGTTTTTGGTTTCGGAGATATCACCTTGTTTTTCAGGTCATGTCATGACCCAAATGACCAATTCTCAACATCTTGCGTTGGCTATGGGCCTTGTGAGCTTCTGACACCTTGATTTCGGCCTTTTATGCCAGTCTCACCTCCCACCTATCATGGAACATGTTGTTCGACGATGTACAGATGTCAAGGTCAAGGTCAAGGTCAACCTAGGTCATCTAAAATAATTGCGTTTTAGGCAAGCTGAATTTACTTTTCGTGAATTTTTTTGACTGCATTTTTGGTAAAAGCTTCTCAGATCATGATTTCATGTAATATGGACACATAAACAATCGGTGCACACATCAGTATACACACAGACACACACAGACATACAAACACATATAATTGACCTTGACCTAACTTGACCTGAAATGACCTCAGCAGCAAAAACCTGGTCGGGTAGTGTGACAAAGAGCTTCTAGCTGGCTTGGCACCAGAAAACGGCATCGTCATCGGTATATGATAAGCAGCGCACTTGATATCCAACGGTGACCCAAAACAGCAACATTTTTTAGTTTGACCTGACCTGGAAGGTCAATGGCTGACCTGAGAAGGTAAAACTGGGTATCATTGGATTCGTCTCTTCCCAAAAAAATCTTTTTGGTCTTTACCGCCAAGCTCTATCTCCAACAGGAACGAAATGGCGCGGGGGGGATGGCAACCCCCCCCCCATGTGCGTTCTATAGGATGGGAAAATGGCATGTGCGGGCGAGGGTTAAAGCAAAATCAATGCACGTGGAAAAACGGAGAGTTTTTCGTAGATTTATATGACATCATGATTTGAGCTTAAAAAATGAAGCCGTGGTCTTAGGAAGTAAAAGCAAAACTCGTGAATTTATGCTTTCCCAGACTAAGTCGGTCGGTTCGACACCACGGAAGGTCCGCAAACACTTTATGGCAAAGAGAGCAACATCTTGAAACACAATTTTCCACATTATTGACAAGTTTCTGGCTCGAGGAAGTGTTAACAAAAGGTTCACGCACAGATAACAGTAGTGATAGTGATAGATAACAGTGGTTCACGCAATGCAAGGAACACAGCGGCGGCCATAAATCCAATCAAAGGCTCACGGCGAACACCACTCGTGTGAGAGATGCGCTACTCAGACTGTCAATGGTCAGCGATATCGGGTGGCTCTGCCGACGTTTTGGAGGGTACTGCAATATCAGGATGAGCAGAGATCCGGAAACGCTTAAGATCCAATGGTTCCAGCAAGACGGTGCCACGCCAATACCGCTAAAGAAAACCGGGACGCGCTGCCCGAAGCGCTCCCACATGTGGGAGCGCTTCGGGCAGCGCGTGATCTCGAGGTTCGAGACACGTCCGTGGTCGGCGAATTCTCCGAACGTAACCCCACCGGACTTTTTCCTTTAGGATCACCTCAAGTCCCAGGTGTACCGAAACCACCCAAAAAGTTCCGAAGATCATAAGGGTGCAGTGAAGTCAGCGGTGTGCCGTCTGCAGCTTTCCATGGGTCGTGCTGCAGCAGAGGTCGCGCTGCGCCGGGCTAAACTGTGCATCGAGCAAAAAGGGAATAATCTCGAACATAACCTCGGCGCGGCTCAGAAAGGCGACTGCCGAGGATCGAAATCCCCTCAAACGAAATGTCTTTGATGAGGCTTTTAGGTGATACCCAATTATGTTTTGTTACACTGATACACCCTTCAATACGTTAGTTATAAAATCGTCTAGCTTTTTTGAGAAGCCCGGTATGTAAATGCTGATATCTTTCCGTTATCTTAAAAAGATTTCGCTTCGCTTGCGCGGCCCGTTCGCTCGTAATAATATTTCTCCTTCGTTTTAACCCTCGCCCGCAGGGCATATTTTAACAATTTTTTACTGCGTCCTTAAGTTGAGCAGAGGGCACGTGCTATGACTAAGGGCACCGGGCAAGGAACAGACTAGGGCACTGAGGAGGGCAGAAAGTAGGGCAGGGCAAGGCACAGGGCATGGCACAGGACATTTTAGAGGGAAAGGTACAGGTCAGGGCACACAGCAGGGCACAGGTCAGGGAACCGGACGGCACAGGGCAGGGACGCAGTGGGTCAAATCAGCAGGGGCTACGTCCCAAGGCGAGGGGGCTGCGTCCCAGAATGCTGCGTCCCAGAATGGGACGCAGTAAGTGCCTTAAAATATGCCCTGCTCGCCCGTATTCGTGTTTGCCAGCGTCTAACGTATAGGGGGGGAGGGTCCGTTGGACCCTCCTAGCCGTTTGGCCTCTGATGGAGCTAGAGCTTCGCAGAAAAAAACGAGCGTGTTGCCCGCGACGAGAGTAAGCCGATGATACCCAATTTTATGGTCTTATTTATGTCATTGGTTGACCTTCCAGGTCAGGTCAATGACCCAAAAATCGGGAAAATCGGGACTTGCTGGAAGTTCGCAAAGTGAGGTTGAAAAAGGGATTTTGCGGGGCGCTGAACACGTGGTTCAAGTTAGTTTTGACCACATACCCATGATGTCTTAACGTATTTAGGCCACGTCGGGTCAGGTCAGGTCAGGTCAACCAGTAGGAGACCTGCCAGCCATCCATAGCAGATGTTGACCACCATTGACAGCTTCGTAGCATGTTACGAGGGCACCAAAACTACTTCATAAATCTTCAAATGGGAATTCGAAATCAGCTCCAGAAACTACCCTAAAAACATGTAAAACTCGAAAAAGTGAAGCAAGGTCATCAAAGGTCAATGACCTTGACCTGACCTTCACGTGACCTTGAAACCCACACCACAAAAATATTGGAAATTGCGCGGATAATGTGAGCCGACATATGCCAATTCGCGATTCCGGTCGAACATGGTCTCGAGAATCAGACCACAGGTCAAAGGTCATTGGGGTCAGGGTCATTGAATGCTAGGAATATGTGTAAAATTGATTAACTCGAGGGTACTGAAAGTTTTGTTGCGATCGGCCGCTTTTTGCGCAAATTATTTGCGAAAAACCGGGAGGGGTCCGTTCGACCCCGCTGTAACTGCATGTGAAGTCACTAAAAATCTGTCTTTAAAGTAAGAAAGGTTATTCCTCGAGCTGAGAGGGCAAAGTTGTACAGTTGGAGTACTTTAACACACCATGTAGATACGTACTTACATGCATACATTCTCGAATTAAACATCAATAATACCTACTATAGGCATATTGCTCTTTGGAACGTCGCTTTCGGTATGGGGATATCATAGGTCTGGGCCAGCTGACACGGGTGACATCCCCTCAGTGGGGTTCTGGCATGGTCTGCGTTGGCTCATCCACCACCACAATGGGCGGTTCCTCAAAACCAGCGTAATTGACCGGTGTGAGGCGGCGACGTGAGGCACGCGAGTGCGGGACCGTCCCCACGCCGTGGCGGTCCGGGTCAGGGGAGCAGCCCCCTCCCCGCGCGGCGGGCGGTCGCCCATTCATCCGCGACCCCAGCCCCATGACTGAGGGGTTGACAGAGGGCAAACATCACGTATTTAAACTGGACAAACAGACGGTGTTCTACGCTAGGGACATCTCGCGGCTGTGATTCACGATACTGCTTCGCCAAACTGCCTTTAGATGGTGGGTCAGTCGGTGTCCGTCTGCTGCTGTGCGCCGAGAATTAGCCCTATAAATTACGATGAATTACACCTTCTAGTGTGACGACACTGTCACATTATCATATAGGTCGCGTTTAGATGCAAATGAAGAAACGACTGCGTTGAAAAAATATGTCATTTCATCGAACGCTGAAATGCTCGAAGTGCTCGCTAAAAAATAAACTCGCTAACTGAGCCCTAAAGGTCGGCTGCCGTGTTGCATTGCATTTAAGCCAAAAACGCGGGCTGGGTGTAAGTTGACGAGAAACAATTTTTGGCCTGAAGTGTCCTCTAAAGTATGATCTACATAGATCCAGGGAACATATTTGCTATCTATGATGGTTTAGGAGATATTGAATCTTAAGTCCTCCGGTGTACCCTATTTTGCGGCGGCCCACGTGTTAAAAGCTGCTGAACATTTTTACTTTGACCAAAAAACGCGGGCACAGTTTTGACTGTACGAAAATGACTCTTGTCCTATCGTATTCCACGTGGGCTGAAAATTCAGAAACCAGGGAACATATTTGCTACGACCAGTACTTTTCACGATTCAGACCGAAAAGTGAAAAAATAGCCCCAAAACCCTATGACGGGCACCCCTCCGCGGCGCCCGGCCGCGGGTCGCTGTTCCCGAAACGACACACCATGGGATGAAATCTCGCACCGGGCGCCCGAACACGCATTGTGCCGGCGATAGTTTAGTGGAAGGATCGGGGGCGTTGCGGTACGTTAGCATCGCCCGTTGGAACTTATCCACGTCCAGCTCGCCGCTGTTGCCGGTGTTGCCCACAATGAGGCGTTTGATCGTCTTCACTCCGACTTCGGCCCGACAGTTGGCGTGAGGAAATGCCACAGAGGATAGTCGATGACGCACTCCCCAGGCTTCCAGGAAAGCCTCAGTCTCCTTTGCCGTGAATTCAGGGCCGCCGTCACTGGTGAGTTCGTCGGCGATGCCGAAGGTGGAGAACGTCCGTCGGAGACAGGCCCTTGCTGCCGCCGCTCGCTCTCTCGACGACAGGCCAGCCAGAGTACCGGTCGACGACGACGAGATACGTTTGCCCCATGTATGTGAAGAAGTCAGCGCACACTTGCTGGAAGGGATATTCCGGCGGCTGAATGTCTTCCGGGGGTGCGCACGGTTGCGAAGGGGCGTTGCGGTTGCACGGTCCACATCGGTCCCGCATGGAACGGATCTGAAACAGAGACACACAGGTATATCAGCGTTATGCCCGTCTACAGTGTCGGTGCCTGTGACTGAGTCTGTGACTGTGACTGTGGTCAGTGACTGTAGCTGTGACTGACTGACGTGTCTCTGTCTCTCCCCGTCCTGCAGCCGTTGGAGCTCAGTGAGCGAACATGTCGGAGTCGGACGGAGCGCGTCCGCCGGCCGGCCGGCCGCCGCCGCTCAAGACACGCTCCCTATCTCGCCAGTACTCGTCGGACCCCGTCTGGGTAGAGGAAATGGTGAGTACAGAGCTCCCCTCAGCAGGACCCAGCCTCAGCCACAGCAGCTGCTACAGATGGTCACAGGGTTGCCCTATGCGTCCTAGCGACCCTCAGAGCTCCCACCAGCTTCGGGCGGGCCTGGCCGAGGCTTACTCGCAGCGCTTACATCTACTTCAGTTGGAACGCGGTTCCCTTAGCGGCTCCAGAGCTCCCTCAGCTCCGGGGGAGGGCCGGTCCAGTTTGGTCGGCGCGGACCGTCGCACACTGGTCGGAAACGCCCTCACGAGAGGCCACGGGCGATTCCGGAGTTTCGGATTATTTTTTATATAGATCGATTTGAAATTGATCAAATTATTATACTTAGGCCAAAAAAACTAATCCGGGTGACCAAAAATAACTGTAATCAGCCCCCGAAGATGGGGTATCCCAGAACTCGGAAACTGACGCGGAGCAAGAGGTTTCTTGAGCCGGATATTCAGAGTCTTATTGCTGATAGACACCAAATTGAAATCCCACATATTATGCATCAAAATGTTTGTTATGAAGTTGCCAACTGGTCAGTGCAAAATTTTTGGTATACTTTTTCCCTAACTAAGATGTACTACAGCTTTTTTATGAAGGCTCTCCTACAGTGATTCTGGAATATAACTGCAAAGTTTAGGTAAGGAAACAACAGGTAGTCCCATCTAGTTCCACTCTGATTTTTTGTGAGATGAAGTAGGATTTAAATTTACACCAGGGCAACATAAAAGCTAACTGCGCATATTTGCGCAAAATTTGCAGGAGCCGCTCTTCCTACCCAACTACCGCCCGCCCCGCCCCAGTTTCGGCTCGGCCGCCGCGCCCGGCTTACGCTGACCTGTGTGGCCTGCACGCATCCATGCGTAGTTGACTGGTCATTAAAAACAGATGCGCTTGAGTTTATGAATTTTGTGAAAAGCGCGTTTTATGTATGCATTTATGTATGTATTGACATCAAAAGCCTTCCACATATTGCGTGGCGATTACGGCTTGCATTTAGAGAGCCTTGCTATTGACAACCATCACTCGGCTGAAGAAAGTGGAAATTGAAACCTTCGTGAATATAAGACGCTGCAAATATAGGACACCTGTCACTGACGTCGGGTTACCTTGGGCCGTCTTTTTACATTAGATCACAATTCCGGTATTTAACCCTCGATTGGTTTTCTATATTGACCGGGGAGGGTTGGTACAACTCCCTCGCCGTTTCGCCTCTAATTGAGCTAGAGCCTCGCGGAAAAAACAAGCTTGTGTGCCGTTATAAGACGCAAAAATTAGGTACTACCCGATTTTAAGGTCACGGGCTCGGTTTAAGGTTAATTACTTTGCCAAAAATAGTCGCACTGCCGCGATTTTGGCATCATCGTGTTTGTCTAGCTCAGGCGCGTTGAATGCTATACTTGGTGTTCGGGTGAAGTCAACTTAAGGTGTTAACCTCGGGTCAAGGTCAGGTCGGAGCCCCTCAGGTCACGAAAATGGTTGAAGGAGGTCATATCGCATATCATTCGATTCGGCAGGTCTTCCTGAGTCCAATGGTGGCTTTCCCGACTCTCTAGCTCCATCTGATCAGGAGTTATTGACGAAAAACTTATATGGCCTTAGTGACGTCATAAATGACGTCACGCAAAGTCAACAATGCTGAAGTCAAGCACTGGACCTTGCAAGGGGTGCATGAAACCATTCCCGGTGCCCGAATAGCAGCTCCCAATTTCCCTTGTTGACTTAAAGTGGTGCTAGATCCTGTATTATACTCAATTATGACGTCATAACTTAACAGATTCACGTCATATATTTAGTTCTTGACATCCAAATGATAGCTTACATATGACATAGAAGGTATGCAAAGTTTTATGAAGTTTGCTTCACTAGTTGTGGAATAACAAGCAAAAAACTTTTGCGGAAAGGCCGCTGGCCTCTCGCTGGAGCGTTTCCGACCAGTGTGCGTCGCCCGGTCGGGGATCTGGTCTCCTTGCAGCCGTACCTGCTCACTGCACTGAGTTCCCGGCTACCTGCGCAAAAACCCGCCCCCGCCGCTGCGGCACAGCCCACTCCGCACCGTGCACAAAAACCTGTCCGATCGGCCGCTGCTGAAATAACAATGCAGGTCGCCGCGAGCTGTGGGACCGGATGGCGGGGGCTGAACGGGGCAGGCATCACGCCTCAGCGGATGGCGGGAGCCGTCACCCATGCGCTGTGAGCTATTTCTGTTAGCTGGTGAACCTGTCAACACCCACCCCCGCATTCAGACGCGCTGGAGGCACCAGATGCAGTCAGATAAATATAACTCCGGCCTACTACTCCTATGGTGTTATTGCATCTACAGAGCGATTCTGTCCAGTGTTCGCTCTAGATTAGCACGCATCAACTTAGGGAGCTGCGATCGCGGCTCAAAGGCCGACAGCGATTGTCTGCGGCTGCGGTGTTTTACCAGCTCGGCTGGTGTGGTGTTACTGGGATCTAAGGGCCGCCGTCCCTGCGACTGCAGACTGGACCACAGAGCCTGCTCTGACTGCCCTGCTGCACATCAGAATCTGAGCTTTATGGTGATGTTTTGCCTGTGGCCGAGCCGGCAGTGTTTATATGCAGTGGACGCAAACAGTCGCAGTATGCATCTGAGCGGCCCTGAAAATGTCCAGCATCAGCGATTCGGCTGCTGTTTGGCCTTTTTATATCTGCTTTTTTGACATTGATAAGTCGCTGGTGAGCGTTGCAGGCCATTTCGTCATTGTTCCTCAACTACCGAGAGAGGTTCCTGCTCTAAAACAATCATGCCGTGAATTGTGGATGGACCGTAATTCAGATTCAGCTCGTCTTTCCGCTGGGCTCCGGCGCCGCCGCAACTACGGTTACGTGCCCGGCGCCTGCTGAGAGGCCGTTCCTGTCTCCCCTGGCACCGGGCGCCTCTCCCCAGGCACGGCCATGCAGTCTCGAATCACGGAATGAGCCGCTGGAGGCCAGAGCCAGAGGCACGGACTGCTGTTACCGCCAGAGGCAGGTACCCGAACCTCGCGGCTCTCTCTTCCCTCTCTCCCTCTCTCCCTCCCCCTCTCTCTCTCTCTCTCTCTCTCTCTCTCTCTCTCTCTCGGCCGGACAGAGGGACGGGGACGGCGGAGAGCGCTCCCTTCCCCTCCCCCTCCGGCGCCGAGCGGCGGCAGTGCCGGGGTAATCAGCGCCCGTACCTGCGTCATTTGGCTGATGGGAGTTGTACACGAGTCGGTGGTGGGACCGACGACGCCGACATTTGGTTCGGCAGTCATTATCAAGTTTCTGAGACGGCTCACTGCTCGTCTGCGGTGGTACGAAAGACTTAACTGGATATCGGTGCTGATGTTCTGGTGGTCTCGTGATCAGGGGATCTCGTGATCGGGCGATATTCTGATCCGGTGATCAAATTGCTGTCTGGCATTCGCCATTCGAATGCAGCAGCGGGGAGATTCTGACCTGGGGCTGAGTGCGGCACGATGTCATATATTTCTGCCTGCATGGAGATGAATTAGCCACTACCCGCTGGTTACCGTTACGTTAGTAGGAGTTTGCCCATACCCATCACCCGGTGTCTGTGCTTTCCCCGGGATTTTTCCGCCCGCTCCCAGCACGTGCCACCGGCTCGTTCGGCGGCGGAGTGGCCGGCGGCCTGTTGTTCTCGGAGCTCCTCTCGGTGCCTCAGAGGGCTGCCCGCGGCGCCCCAGTGGATGCAGACTACCAGTGGAGGCCAGCCGGTCTCACCAGGGCCGTCTGCCGTGCCGGGGCTGCCCTGCAAAGGGATACAGACGAGAGGTGCAGGTTTAATCAATAACGTCATTACCTTCTCAGCGCTGGTATCAGCAAAAACTCGATACCACTAACAAGTTACTTAACGACATAACAGGATCTATATATTTGGAGGAGACATATTTCCCCATTACATGCATATTATCGGTATGTGCGGTGACACGGTCCCATGTCGTGCATATTTCATGTATACCGACACTGACACCCGGCCATGATTCCGTGTCGCCGGAGTATTGTGTGTCGCGGACCGTGCCGCCGCCGCTCGTCACCTGCTCCGGCGGGCGGCTCTCTGCGGCGCGCCGGACGACCCGTGTCGCCGGTAATTGGGACCGGGTCGACTGTCGCCAGCGCGGCCTGCGCTAATGGAGCCGCGCCGGACCGGCCCGGCAGTCTGAGCTCTGTTCTCCGGAGGGGTGATCCGACCCGACCCGACCCGGTGCGCCGCGACCCGGCGCGGCGTCTCATTAGCGACCCGCCCCCGCTCCGGGCCGGCGCTCAACGCTCCGGCCTCCACAAATGATAAGTTGTCTTGTTGGAGGATATTTCAGTTATCATATCTGCATTTTCCGTGGTAATCCGTCATTACAGTCGCACTGAGCTGCCTCGCTGCTGCCGAGGACAGTGATCTCCGCCGGGGCCAGCGGTCGAGGAGGAGGGTGTGCGCCGATCGACAATCGACCGGGCGAACTCGGCAGACTATCAGAGGCCGTCTCGATTGGCCCGGCCGTACGCCCGCGGCGTTTTGAGCAGCATGAACAGAGCCCGCTCAGAATCAGGCCGATCGACCCTGGCCCGCGGAGCCGCGGAGGAAGCCAAAGTTGCACAGAGTGCAGCCCTGAACAACACAGCTGGGATTCTGCCCAGAATTACAACAACCCAGGTCCATGGTACATACGAGTAGCAGCGGCCCGCTCGGCCGAGCTCGGGCCGCGCTCAGTTGGGGAGGGCGCGGTTCGTTTTGTGCGGCCCAGCAGGTGTGGTGTCTGTCGTTTCCGGATAGGTTTATTGGCGTCTGGTGGCGCCGTTTGGCGGCTCGGCTGGCACGGCGGCGTGTGGGTTAATGTCGCGGCCTATCTCTGGCCAGCCGGCTGGCAGCGTCGGATGCTACTGCAGCCGTGAGGGAGGGAGGGCAGGCTGTGGGGTTAATAGCGCCCTAACATAACGGTGAGCACGCAGCGTGCAGTACGGAGGCTGAATCATACCACTTTTATCTGCCAAACGGTCTG